ATGCATGTCAAGATTAATCCTCAGATTTTGAAAAAAAAAAACCGGTTTATTTGGAGAGAAAATGATATGTCCTATATTTTAAATATGGTTTCATGGCCCCACAAAGGAGCGTGCGTGTCTTTTACAGCACTTCAACAGCTGATGCTACACATACAAATTAAAACTTATGCAAAAATCGAAGTTTTGTTCCACAGAGTACTGAATAGTCACTTGAGAAAACTAAATATATTTATATGTATTTTTTTTTAAATGTACTCTTTCATTGCACGTGCTATTATATAAAAAGCATTACAGTTTATAGAGATTTGCATTTGGCTCAAATTCATAGCACATTAAATATTTATTTTTAAAGAACACCCATAATGTATTGTTGGTCTTTTAATTATGCTTTACAAGTGCATTTTATTACAAATAAAAAAAATGCATGATGTGATGGTTGAACTCAAATGAAGATGTCTGCAATCTACACAGAATTAAAGCAGAATTAAGCTAAACTCATAATTATCCATGATTTAATTGTAATTCTCTCTTGTGGAGTGTACAAATATGGAAATCTACATGTACAGTACATGTACAGCCCTTTGTTAATCCACTGCTGGATGAGGTCTCTCCCCAGGTCATGCAGCTTTGTGGGAGTTATCTATCTATGTACATATTTATGGCCCTATTATGAATATTATTATATTTATGTATGCCCAACGCACACACAATTCAGTGTGTATTGACAAAGGTGTCGAACATATCTGTGGCAGCATAGAAGTACATTTCAACATTGGGTGTTGCTGCGCTTTCCTCTGCTGCCCCGCCACATTGCCCCACAAGTTATAACTTGCTGTTGTGCATGGTGGTCGCCCATCCAAGCATTAGGGCAGGCCCAATTCTGCTTGGCTTGTGATATCTGATGAGATAGGATGTGTTCCAGCTGATTCAGTTATAGGCAATATATAGCAGTGGTACCTTGAGAGTGAAATTAAAAATGTCTCCCGCTCCAAGACCAATTAAGCAGGGCTCACTTATCTTAGCGCCACTAAGCATGTTGTGGAAATTCTGAGTTTTGCAAAACATCTGGCCTTTGAATACGAACACATGGGAAAGCTGCTATAAATAGCATGGGAGGATAGAGTAATCGGCTTAAAAGTTCAGAATAAAATATGACAAGAAAGCATTGTGAACATGATGGGGAAAGAGGAGGCTGGGATTGCTGGGGCACATGTGCAGGACCGAGAAGGCCAGGTTACTGAGATGGGCATTGGAGTGACGTCATGATCTCAGAAACCAAAGTTGAGACGTAGAGCCACTTGTTGGGATAATGTAAGAGCAAACAATGGAAGTTTGATTTGACTGTTCAACAAATTGTGGCACCTGACAGAAGGAAATAAGCGATGGCAAGACGTAGTTGTATCGATGACGTCGACTGTGACGACCTTTACAGTTCTTTGGTGGTGGGGGGGGGGGCAGTCTTTCTGAAGGAATTCCCACAAAACAGTACTAGTTGTATCCACTTCAGATAGATGGTGGATTGACTCGGACTCAACCAGAGCTTTTGTCCACAAAAAAATTAGGGTTTTGAAAAAGTTTGTGAAAATGTTTGGATTTCTGGCGTTCATCTCACACTCAGCTCTGGGATACAATTGCTGCAGTGAGTGAGTTTGGGTTATTTGGACTCATAAGCAGGAGGCATGCCAGTCCAGTTGGATTATGTGTCAAGCTTGGCTGCGGTACACAGAAGGCTAAATATGTTTCTGAAAACATTAAACAAGTGGGCCTTTTAAAATTTTATTTTAGTCCTTTTGATGGTCCATTGGCCGAGATGCTCTATTGACATGCCCCATATGCAGACACTAATAAGCACGATATGTGCTTTGACAGACTTTTTAACAGGTTGTGGTATGCTGATGGTCGTTAGCAAAGATATACATTCTGACGCATTCTTTAAACTCATACTGTTAAAGTGCATCGTATTAAACTAAAGCTATTAAACGTGTTTTTATTTTAACAGGTAAGGCCCACTGAGCTAGACAGCTATTTTTCAGAAGCGACCTGGCCACAAATGACAACTGAACGAAGTGGCTTATGTGGGAATTGATAGCAACCAAATTATCTTAACCCACGGTTCGTTTATACGGTACATACGAATCCAGTAAACGTGGAACATTGGCCCAACGTTGTACAAAAAAGTGGTCCAACGGCTTCAACCATGAGACAACATTGGCCCAACGTTATATATTTACTTGGAACTCCTCATATCCACGGTCATGTTAAGGATCAATATTGCATATTGCTATTATCCACAAGGTTCTCCCAGATTTCACTCCATTCAGTTCAGTTGCATTTATTAGGCATAGCCCTGTGAGCCATTCGGCTCTTGAATCGGGTGCAAACGCCTTTTGGCGTCATGTGGTCGAGCACCAATTGGGTCGAGGCTCAAAAGAAAGCCGTCCCTTGGTGTGGACCAATCAGTTTCAAGGACAATGCCACATATATTATCATAGTATGTTTTTTTGTTTGCATTTTGACTGCAGGTATTGTGGTTAATGCATACATGAATCCTCGTAAAAAGGTTTCAGTTTTGTTGCCAGAAAAAAGGGGAAAACCCATATTATTTATCTTAAAGTGACTACGCGCAACAGAAATATCCAGGGAAAAAAACAGCAAAGTCTTCCAGAAAAAGAACCGTATATCAACGCTGTATGCAAAAAATCCCAGTGGGATGCAAGTCAAACAATAACAACCATAAGACAATTTAGATTAAAGTTATCAGTCTAATTCTGTACAACAACAAACAAATATGGCTGGCTAATCCAAAACGTTTTCGAAATCACCAAAATAAAGCTATAAAAACAACATAACAGTGAACTTGGGAAAGTTCACGGATAATTGTGGACTACAGAAAAATTTTTGCTCACCCAGTGTAGCTCCACAAATGGGTAACTGGGTAAATGGATTAAAGGTGTTTTCTGTAATGGGAATTTTATCGTTCCAATAAGCCCAGCAGTAATATTTTACATCAAGTGTAGCTGTACAATGGTTTGTGCCTATTGTGCCAATATGCAGTTCATTTTCTGTTTGTATAACTTTGTTTAAGTATCGAGAGTATAAGCGAGTAGACTCTAGTCTATATCACGAACGGAGATGATTAAAATCGCATTGCCCCTTTCATTACCATCAGTCATGATCAATCCACTGAAGGCCTCAAGCCTCATCACATGGCACATTTCAGCAGGGCTACACTGGGCTGATGACCACTAAGAATAGTGAAACCATTTAGTGGGGGGTGGGAATTGCTGTGGAGGAAGATGTAGCTATACAACGCTGATGATACTCTTTGGTTCTATTGGGTAAAGTCACGTAGGTAAAAAATAAAATAACAAAAATCACGACGTTTCGGCCACAACACAAGCGGCCTTCATCAGGTGAAGGGACGAGACTGTCTGGAGGACAGCGCTGGAGTGAAAAAAGCCACGCTCAGATCACGACCTTTAAGCTGTGTGAGAAGAAACAAAGCGCCTTGACAAATGAATTAGCATATAATTTAGCATTGCAATGGCTCATTGAAATAGCTAAGTTAAAGTATACACATCCGCAGAGGCACCCCTTGACAAAGGAATTAGCATAGAATTTAGCATTGAAATCGCTGAGTGATTAGCTTGTAACTGGTCACAGAAATAGCTATGTTAAAGTCAGAGCATATACATTCACCGAGGCATCTAGTACTAATCAAACAGGAGAATTTAGCGAAGCACAACCACGCTCAGACCGCGGACCTTTAAGCTGTGTGCGAGCAAACAAGGTGTCCTGACAAAGAAATTAGCATAAAAATTAGCATTTGATTGGCCGACTTTAGAAAAGAGGTGGTGTACGTGCCGGTGGACTTGATGGTGTGAAAAGGGAATTTATAAGAGCTGCGAAAGTTTGGGGTACCACTACTTGAAAAATATACTGTACCATTGAAATTAGTTTAATGTTTAGTTCGATTTAGAACATCTTTCCAATGGTTGCTTAATTTGAAACCATCTTCTCGGTTGAAATTGTGTCTGTGTTTGTAGATCTGAATTGCCTCGTGAACAAATTTCTGATCAAAACCCGTGGGTTTGCAAAGAACCTTGGTATCGGAGAAAATTATATCGTGATCACCCACAGCGTGAAGGCCCCTTGTGTTGTGGCCGAAACGTCGTGATTTTTGTTATTTTATGTTTTACCTACGTGACTTTAACCAATAGAACCAAAGAGTATGGATCCTAGCAGTCACGAAAGCTTTCAATCTAGAAACGCTGATGATCCCTAATAGCTATACAATGCTGATGATCCCTAATAAAGGCGAATAAAGAGGTCCCTTCTCAGATGCTAGTTTTAGCATTGGAATCGTGGGATTATCTCATTATTCCTCTTTTGCTCCTTGTTGTTGACTTAATTGCAATGCCGTGCTTTGTAGCGTGTACTATATTCGGGCAAATGATTATTATTTTTTTGTTATATTAAAGTAACTTTGACGCATTTGTCTGGACACATTCTCACCCTCTCGCGCTCAGCCGGCTAAGGAATGCGGGGTGACGTCACGCGCCACTTTATCCAATCGCTTGACGAGGCGTCAGAGACGCGGGGGTGGGGAGGGGTTGGTGGGGGGGTTGGTGGGGGGGTGGATCTCACACTGGTCACGTGCGCGGGTTCCGGCCAATCGAGACGCACGCCTGGGGTGAGAGTGGGAACGTGGGGGGGAGGGAACGTGGGGGGAGGGAACTGGATCCCAACCACGTGACCGTCTGATGATGACGACGTCGCAGCAGCCATCTTGGTGAAGGATGTCAACAGGAGTCTTGAGAGGCGAGAAGGGGGAGGGGATGGGGGGGGCCCAGAGCGGTGACGTAACCGACCGATCGCCATATTAACGGTGGGGGGAGGGGGGTGAAGGGGTGTTGGTAGGGTTCCCCTTACCAAGATGGCCCGCGATGATCACTGTGGTGGGGGTGGTTGGTGGTGGTGGTGGGGGTGTGAGTCAGGGCTGGCTCGGCGAGGAATGCAGCTCCCGAGTTTGCGGGAGATGGAGTCAGAGAGAGGCAGCGGAGGTAGCGGGGGAGCGGCGGCTGTGATTTCATTTTTTTAATAAGACAGTTTCATTTTGTTGTTGTTGTTTGGATAACTATTATTTATAAACACGTTGAGATTTAAAAGTCTAAACTCTGCAGCCATGAGCTGCCGCTGTTTTCGCTCGCCGTTTAACGCCCGCTCCTCGGGTTAATAACGCGTTTACTGTAAGCGTTTACAGTATATATGTAACGCATTGTTCAACACTTTTTTTTCTTCTACCGCTGCGCGTGTGTTTTGTAAAGCGGTTTCGCGTCGTCTGCTTTCGTTGTAGCGTTCGGCCACGCGAGCGAGGAATAGTCGCGAGAGAGAGCGAGCGAGCGAGCTGTGTGGTTTGTGGACACCGATTCGTGATAGCAATGACAATGCTGTGCGAGAGAGCGCGGGGCCGGGGCCACCAATAGAATCTGACTCCAGCAAAACCACTAGTCCGGTTCACAGCCGCTCCAGCAAGACGAGAAGAAGAAGGAGAAGAACCGAGCAGCAACAGCAGAATCCTGAGCTTCAGCAGCAGCAGCAACTTCTTTGCCTAGCCTTAGGACGCAAGAGGAGACGCGTGGGGAGAAGTGAGAGAGCGGAGCCCGGGCAGCCACGGGGAAAAATGGCGCCTGCTCCGCTCTCCTTCGCCTCCTCTCCATCATCATCATCGTCGTCGTCGTTCTTTCATCTCAACGTCCGTTGCTTCTTCTCGTCGACCTCGCTGACGCTGCTGATGCTGCTGCTACCGCTGCTGCTGCTGCTACCGTCATCCGAGCAGCAACCGCAGGGGTCGCCGCGGTGCCCGCCCGGCTGCTCGTGCCGAGGAGACGGCGCCGACTGCGGCCGCGCGGCGCTGGGGCGAGTCCCCGCGGGGCTCCCGGGCGAAGTGGCGCAGCTGTGAGTGCCTCCTTCCACCACCTTCTCATCATCATCTCTCCTCAACTCTCTGTGTGTGTGTGTTGCTGCGTTTCCTGTGGACCTGCCGATGTCGGGGACAGCTGCGAGTGGCCTCGTCGGCGCTTGCGTTGTTCGTGTTGCGGCTGCTGTGTGCGAGGAGAGAGTGTGCGCCCTCATTGCTGGGGGCAGCTGTTGGAGTGGCCTCGTCACTTCTCCGCGTCTCGCTGTAACATTGCGACTCGGAGCGACGTGTGCGTTTCGGTTTCGTGACTTGTGAGGCGCTTCATGGTCTCGCGTCGCCTGTGTGGGTGCGTGTGAGAGACTGAGAAAACGACTGCGTTGGATGCAGCTGTGGGCCTCCTCTTCGGTGTCTTGTCGGGGTGACTGTGTGCGAGACTGCATGTTGACTGTCTGCGTGCGACTTTGTGAGAGTTGCTTGTGTGTGTGTGTGTCACTGTGTGGAGAATTAGCTATGAGTGGCCGCCACATATCTTCTAGTTTCCCATCTCCCTGTCTGAATGTGTACAACTGTGTGTGTGTGAGAGAAACTGTATATGGGGAGCGGTGGTGCAGCTGTTAGCGCGACGCGCTTTACAAACGCCGGCGACCCCAGGTCGATTCCCGCTCACGACTAACAACCAGTGACGATTATCTGAACCGATAATGGGCGTCCCCTATGTCGACTCAGCCTCAAATGAGTACTTGTTGCGGTGTGTAAACATCGCCACGAGGGATACAAAGGCGGCCGGCCGTGGTGTTGGCCACCCATCCCCACGTGTGCCATGCGGGCCTTCATAGGTGCTCGCTAACAGCACTTGACCCAACAGTCTTGCTAAGGCTGTACGGAGGGATCTTTGTCTTGGCATGTGACTGTCCCTCTGTGTCTGACTGCGACTGTATGAATGCTTGTATGTGTCTAGCTGTGTGCAACACAATGTATAACTTTGTCCGTATACTGCCTGTGGTTTTGTGTGTCTGCGTATGTGTCTGTGTTTATATGTATGTGCGGCAATGTGGGTGACTTCAGGTATTCACTGTGTGTGTGCAAGTTTATACATGTATGTGTCTGTAATTTTCTGTATGTATATACTGTGTTCAGTATGTCAGGATGTGTGTGTGTATGTCTATATACTGCATGAATATGTATGTATACTGTGTTCGTCTGTATAAGTGTGAGTTTCTGTGTGGATGTGTCCGTATATACGTCTGTGAGTGTGTATATCTGCTTGCTATATGTGGGTATACGTGTATTTATAAACATCAACACCGGGTAGACCGAGGCAACATATACACGGGTGGGTATATTCTCCAAAGATGCCAACCTAAGTTGCATAAATGTATATTGTGTTTGGGCATGCGTGCGTCTTTGCGTCGGTATTTTCATAACTAAATGAGTGTATACGCTATTTGTTTTGGGTGTTTGTGTATTTATGCATGAACGTGTATGCTGTTATACACATCTGCAGTACGGTATACAATGTACGTAAGAGTACTGTAGGTGTATATGTCTGTATTGTGTACTGCATTACCTTTGTGAATGCGTTTGTGTGGGTATCTCTGTGTATGAGTGTGTGTATACAATACGTGTGTGCGTGCATTTGTGTCCAGTAGTAGTCTTCGCTTCATAAACACAACTTTTGTGCACTCTACCCCCCTCCATCGTTGACTTCTTTCTCTGTCAGCGATCGCAAGTTTGATCGCTTGCCCGCCTCAAGTCTTCACTCTCCTGAGTCGTTTTACGCTTTTTGTAAACACCCCCACACCCTCTCTCTCTAGCCTCACGCGATTTCCACCACTCTTACTTGGCCAGTGTCATGGTTTTTCATCTTGAATAAGGCCTCCTTTCTCTACGTGCTCATGATCCCCACGTTTAACGTTCCAGGGTCAAGGTGTGTCCCCCCTCTCTAACCTCCCAGGGTCTTTTTATTTTGGTTCAACCTGCCACAGTCCCCTCTCCCACGGGCTATGTTTTCAATCCACCCCCACAGGCATCTTCAACTCTGCACCCTCCAGGGTCATTTTAATTATTTAATGAAACCCTCTACAATCTTCGAGACCCATTTATGTCCACTGTCAAGGTCCATTCTGCCAGGACCCATTTTCTCTAACCCACCAGGAGGGCCATCGGCTCCCCAAAACGATTGCCCCGTAATCCCATCCACAAACTCTGTAACCCCCTTGGTGCAGCTTTCCATCCTTTTAGGACCCCCATGCCTACACTTTCTGGGGTATCCCTACCGTATCTCTGCAGGTCCCCTTTTACAAACACTCCCACTCACTATTCCCCCAGGCCTTCCTCTTTTCACCTATCTCCCGGGGTATCCTTCACCCTCCTAGGGTCCATCAATCTTCATTCTGACGGGGAGTATTGCCTTCCATAGGTATATATCGTGTGACGTAAACAGCATGAGATGTTCTTACCAAACCCTTACCGTGCCTATATGTGTAGGAACGGTACACAATTGCGCTGTGTGTAGGGTAAATGGGGTACATTGTGTGCCTATACAGTGCACGGCACTATGTCATGCATAGAATGAGTTCTGTGCTGTTGCATTTCATGTTATGTGTATACTGTACTTGTACGGCGCGTTTTGGCAATCAACTGCTGGACTAGGGGGCCCCCTCCACTCCGAGAGAAATTTGACCATACTTCACCACATTTTACAATGTCGGTTTGGGGGTGGGGTAGTGTAGAACAAATCGATTTTGCTGTACCGCTACCCCTCTATTGCCCACAACGGCTGTTATAACTGTCGTCTCACATGGTTGTCACAATTTCTCAAGCACTCTGTCTAGCCCCACAAAGCCTGCTGGGGCTTCGGTCAAGTTCTGCTCATGCGGTATATATGTGATATAATGAAGTATGCGTAATGTGCTGGTAGGGGGCTGGACGTGCTTTTTTTTGGTGGTTTGTGTTTCCATTCATTGAGACGACAAGTGGCCACTTTCGTATTCAAGGTGAAGGTTTTAAAGTGGCTGCACATCAAGTGTGTTCTGGTAACAACTCGTCAGTATGTGCATTGGTTGTTTACACCACTTTGCACCTAGAACCTACGTGCTCACGTAGGGGGCACTGAGAAGCAATAAAGTACAGGCTGTAATTTTTGTTATTCATTTTCTTTAGAAGCCACGTTAATGGTTGAAAGTTCCCAGGTGTCGTCAAAATGCAGTGAACGCTGCCATTGTTGTGGTTGTATATTACCCTGCACTAAATCAAAACCGACATCTGTGTCAAAAGAATATCTTAGGTAGACGCTGAAGAGAACAAGTGGCTATTATATTTGACAAATGAGGCAGAATGCATGCACACTACAGTGTCTGAAAAAATGTGTTACTCTTTTTTTAAGCATCCTTTTTCTCTAGGATTGCTGCCTACCCTTGTATTTGTAATTGTTACAAATAAATGAACCAAACGCTGTAAATCCTCGACTTGGCAGCCAAGTTGGGTTGGAGTCCAATTGATGGCATTGGCTGCAGCGAATGAACCTCACGTGATTTATTTTCGTGCTTATTAATATTAGGAGTAGCTTGCCTCCTGAGGTGGCTCAGCGGTAGAGCAAGCGGCTCGTAATCGGACGGTTTGCGAAGCTTAAATCATGGTTTGAGGCTGATTCAGCCCATCATTCCTCCGGGATATATAACATAGATACGTCGGACAAAATTTTTCCTATGTATAGACTTGCCCCCGCCCGAGGAATGTGGAATTTCAAACACCGGCTCAGGGTTGTTACCAAGAGATGACCGCTGCTTCAATGCTCATTTGAGCAAGGCAACTATTTTTTGCCTCCTAATGTCAAAAGTGTTGGACCGAATAGAACGCAAACTTGAGCTCGGAACAACAGAGGGCTTGCGTTTCGTAGGCACATAGACTTGGAATTTGCAGTAGAGAAGTTAGCGAAATGTAACGGCTCTATAATTAGGAATGTGAGCTTGATAAACAACTACCCTAATGGTAAAAGTATGCAGGACCACTTGTGGCTTGGCCGCACTTTCACGGGTAGCTGCTGCTACGAATGAAGAAGATACAGATTTCTAGTTATCCCCTTGGATGGACATGCGTTTTGTGAGCATTTTCAATGTAAAGTTTGTCATTTGCTTCTCTTATAAGCCCTGCTTCATTGACGCCTTAAGTTTGTGGTATTTAGAACAAGTATTGTTTTGAATTACCAGGAACATCTGTGTTGAAAGCTGGGTAGTTATCAATCTAGATATTATTTTTTCCTCTGCATCTTGGCAGTTGAATTCACATTCACAATCGTTGCACATGTCAAATAAAAATGAAAGCAGCAAGCTTGGCTATTTCACTTGGCAGTAGGTGATAAACATGCCCTACAAGGACTGTAATACTGGAGGTGGTCGACTGTGAGCCACACAACCAAACAGGACAGTTTTTATTTCAGTAGAGCACTGAATTATACCTCTGTGAACACCTATAGGCTAATGGATTAGTTTTAGAAACATTCAATGTAAAACAGCCTAGTGTTACCTCGACTTAATTTTAAAGGGCCATGAAACACAGCCTACGTGGTAGGCATGTATTGATGAATTGTTTCAGTGATCAAAACCGATTATTTTACTCATACATACATTCATTGCATTGTGTGTGAGAATCGATTATTTTCAATATATTGTATGTAACTGTATTCTTTGGGTCTTTCGGTAAAGGCACGTAGATAGGTTTTGTTATTTCCTTTGAACCTATTTACGTGACTTTACCGAAAGACCCAAAGAATATGAATTCCTAGTCACGAAAGCTTTATGTCAAGGTTTTTGTGTGTAACTGGTTCCTGTAAACTAAATTGAAACAATTTTTTATTTTACCAGGTAAGGCCCACCTAGCGATATAGCTCTTTTTCATAAGCGACCTGGACACATGGAAGCTCAACTAAGTGGCTTATCATTGGAAATGTATCGCAGCCAAATGCTCCAAGCGCACGTTTCTAAATCAGAGCCGCCAGAGGTTCTTAATGCACCACAATGGCATAAGATAAGTACATTTTTAAAATTGAAATTCCAAACCCGAATAATGATATTAGAATCGTGAAGTGGTGGTATATACTTCACAAGCCCAAATCACGGATGTATGGTTTGGCAACTGCATATCATCCTACAGTTGGTCATGTGCCTGATCCCATCAGATCTCGGAAGCTAATACAAGCACTAAGCCTGACTTAGTGCTTGCTGACTTAGTGCTTGTATTAGAAAACGCCCGGTTTAGTAAGCCAGCTGTGAGGCTATGTTGTGGGCAGCAGAGGGCAGCGCAGCAGAGCACGTTGTTGTACTGTAATTCTATGCTACCAAATACATCCTCCGTGTCTTTAAACCTTAACTGACGAGCGTGTAAAGTGTGGAGAGATAACCCCTATGGCCTGAGCAGTTTGGGAAAACCCTCATCCAGGAGTGGATTGACAAAGAACGTGTACATCATCCTGTAAAAGTGTGCATGCTTTTGGCAGTGGTAAGGCTTTCCGAGGGAAGTGCAGACCTATAAAATAAGTATCGGTGACAAGCTATAGTTGAGCATTCACATTTTTGGAAGGCATCTTGATCTTCCATTATAAACCCAGGTGTTTGGGATTCACATCTCACATGTTGCTTTGCTCAAATCTTGTCACTTGTGAATTGAAAATACAGAATTGTTTGTGGATTTTGCCAAAAAAAATATTTTTGTTTTGAGCAAAGCATGTCTGAGCTTTTATATTTGTGTACTGTACTGGATGATTGCCTCGACTGTTGTAGTGTGCTGCCTGCCTGACTGTTTTTTTTATTCAACGGAACACTGATTTAAGTTATTTTACATGCATGATTATTGCCTGGAAAACACACCCACTCCTTGTAGATTCTGTGAGCTTTGCACAGACTTAAGCTCATGGTGTGCATTTGTTGGTTGTTGAACTCGCGCCTACCCATTCTGAATGCACATTGGTAAAAAATGCAGTTCCATTTTGTGAACGTGCAGTGCTGTTTGAAAGACAAAATCGTATTGCATAAGCACATAATGTAGAGCACTATTTGCAAATGGTATCTTAATACGAGGTGAATGTCAACATTACAAAATACTTTTGCCTGATTAAGTTTACTGCCATCAGCGGGCAATAAAAATAAAATAAAATTGGAGGTCTGCGGGAGGTCGAATTTCTTTCTGTTGCCTACATGATTTGAAGTGCCACAAACAGGCTATAATTACCTGAAGAAAATTGAGCTTTGTTGCATTTAATGGTGTGATTGATGGAGCCAATTTACTCTTCTTTATCCCTCCTTCCTTCATGCTTCCCTAGGGAACTTCAACACAATCAGATTGCCAACATCCCGACAGATGCGCTCCGACATTTGGTCAACTTGCAAAAGTTGTAAGTTTCACTCCATGACCATGTTTCATGACCAAACGATGTGCTCTTCAAATAGCATTCACTGAGCCGGTACAATATGTAAATGTTTTATATTGTGTGTATGCCAAATGTTGCCTTGTGGCAGTTAAATCCAGATTAGCCTGGCAGTTTAGTGCAGGAGTGTTTAAACTTGGCGAGCATATCCACGTGGTAGGATTTGAACTCTCGACCTCTTGCTTGCAAGGCAGATTCTTGGCCCACTGAGCTGCCCAGCCAGGTTTTGATGTATGCTAATTCTGCGAGCTTATGTGTGCTTTCAAACGGGAGCAGCAATCGGACATTGGGAGACCATTTCATTTGAAGTCATCACTGGTCACACTTGTTGCATATGGTTAAACAGTATTTTCATTTGCCTAAAATCCAGGTGTGTATTTTTGCATCTTGTTATATAGAGCACTAATAGAGTTAACACAGCAATATTGTGTTAATTCGGGCCAAATGTTTTATTTATGTTATGCTTGTAAAGAAAGCGATTTTCCCTGTACAATCTGTGTGGGTGCAGTGTTTTTTTTTAAATCAGGTTTCTGAACTATGCTTATCTAACTACATTTAGTGCATGTATATCTTCTGCTAGGGTAAATACGGAACATGTCCAGTATCTTGAAATATGTTTTAAGATCACTGTGGTACCAACATACTCCCTTCAGCTTTTGGAGGCCTTGATCCAGCAATGGAGTGATCTTGGCTGATGATGATGTCACTTACTACCTTCCTGCTGATTACCGATGACACTACATCCGTGGCAGGTCATACCTGTAGTTGGTACATCTCAGAGGCAAGGGTTGGTGGATCACACAGATTTGTGAAACTACTAAAGCCTGTGGGCTGCGAGGTGCCCATAAGATGGCAGTCACCCCGCATGGATTTTGTGGAAATTCGAGTTATCCCCCTTGTATTCGTGGGATTTTTCAGGTACTCCGGTTTCCTCCCACATACCAAATGCTCATTAAAGGAACTTGACAAACATCTCTACGCAAAACCCTCCTGAAAAAAAATATAGTTTTGAGACTTCGGTTAGACTTTTCCTGGATAAATAAATGACATTGTTATTGTATGTAATTACTGACATTGATCCCCCAACAGTTGATAATTCTGGTGACATCATTGACCCCACTGCCAGGCATACGTGACCTGCCATTAGGTCACAAGCCCTAGGTTATGAACTACTGCACTATGCTTTACATAGGATGTACAGAAACACAATGCTTGGCCTTATGTGCAGTCCAACCCAGTGTTGGCTCACTCGAAAGTGTAGACACATGGAAAGTTATGGAGGAGGAAATGCGTGCTTTAGTCTTTTAAAGTTTGTTCCAAGCTCAGGGTAAAAAATTTGTTTCAGTTTAGGTAATTGTCCTGCGCTTATACAGAATTTATGCAAAACCCAAGACGATGTTCTCAAAAAAGGCTGTAGACATCTTATGCCAACTTAACAGATTTTTCTTTATTCTTTGCATAGGTGTGCTTGGTTTTAGTGTTTTCATGTTCAGTAGTTAATTGATGGTTCTCAAGGACAATTTAATTGTTACCTTGTTTTTCTTTCGAACGGTTGGAGACCAATTAACATCAGAATTGAGCACTTCCATTCATAATATTTTGCCAAGCCTATCTTATTTTAGCTTTTTGATCAATATAAACACACCAAAGTAGTTCAGAAATGAAGCATTAAAAACATGTTTTATATTTATTCACAAAGCATTTCAATATTTTTATGATTTTCATTAAAAAAAATTATAACACTATTGCATCAGCAAGTGGTCAGTTTTGAAACCCACGTGAAATTCATCTCTCCGTGGCTGTTTCTGTGTCTTTTAGCTGCGGTGCATAGTTGCACAGTGGAGTCCCAGGATTGGATGTCGCGAGCAATTGGTTTACAAACGTGTTCCAGTTGTCCAAATACGTCTGGGGTCCCGGGTGTGGTACGTGCCTGCCGCGTGGATCTGTGCGAGACTCTCTTCGGGCTAGGAAGCACAGAATGGTTCACTTGTAAGCAACGTGTGTGAACCCGTTTCCCCACGCATGCCTGCTCCGGTAAGCGGGGAACCCTGCGCGTTCAGACTCCAGTCACAGGGGCTTGAAGCAACAGCGCCGATGTCACTCTTGATTCCATGGGGACCGACATTTCAGCAGCAACAAAAAGCCAAGCGAACTCTCACATGGAAGCCTTTTGCTTTGAAAGATGTGCAAGACAATAAAGTAATAGCTCTTACTTCGAATGTAGTCATCTCTCAGCCAAGTGCATAATGGAGGGAGCTGTGGCATGGATACAAAGAAATGGTTTATGTAGACATGTAAATGAGGGTATTTTTATAATTATTTAGCCACCTAGAATGGGGGTTGACCCTCAAGTGTGCATGCAGGGAGCTGCAGTGTAGTATTTAGCACGTTACGCAACAAACCCGGTAGACACAAGTTCGATTCCTGGTCATGGGCAATATCAATGGTTAGTTTAACACGTATGCATTCGCGACCAATACCATCCGTGATAGAGGTTTTTGGGTTAGATCGCGTAAATATCAATGTTTATTTTCTGAACCGGTCCTCGGTCAACTCAGCCTTTCACGAATATCCAGTGCGGCGTTTAAAACATTACCACCGAGGAGACAAAAGCAGTTGGTTGTAGTTCAAGCCACACTGTCCCCTCGCGTACCGTAATCCGTAATGGCCTCATAGGTGTTTGCCAACACCACTTACCCCCCAGCAGCCAGTTTAGGCTATATGGGGGATATTTGTCTGTGTGCACATTTGTGTGCGCATGTGCACACACAAATGTGTGTGCGTCCCATCTGTTGGCATTCGAGCGCTTCTGGAGGTCGGGGGGGGGGGGGGGGGCCCAGCTGCCCTGCAGGCACGGAGTACTCACACTCACAAGGCTGTCATTGTGCACCGTTCATCCCCACATCCGTTTGGGGCTGCCTGTGCTCACGGCGGGCGGGCGGGCGAGCGCGAGCAATTGACGCTCCGTTCGTGCGTACGGCCTTCACCTTTTGTTTGTCTGCGCTGCGCGGCCTTTAAAATTGATAATCACCTTTGTGCCAGGCCCACTTACAATGCAAGAGCTCTGGACGGTGGGAGTCCATAGGAGGGTTTCCGACCACCCCCCTTCCCCCCCCCCAAAAAAAAAAGTGGACCGTAGAAAGGAAAGCTTAAAAGGAAAAAAGGGTTGGAAACGGCCGTAGCCTATTGACAGTGTTTCTAAGTACCAGCGTGTGAAGTTTGTGGTGTTGATGCCCCTTGCTGGGGGATAATGAATTTCTGTGGGGTCCACAGCTGTGCTTGCTTTGCTGTTGGCACTTGTACAACAATTCCTTTCTGTCTTTGTCTGCTCCTCTCTCAGGCAGAACCTTTGCTTTGTAGTGGTGCTTTGTTCCATAGATAGGGCTATTTGGCAGACATTTCAAGTTGAGCAATGGTCTCTCTGCAAATCCGCCTTATACTGGCTTGCCAAATTTTAGCCGTTGGACAATGTGAACTTCACATCTACAATTTTCTAACAAATCCTATCCAAGCGCATTTGATCTGCTTTGCGTGTTTCTGTGCTTCAGAATGAATGTGTGTGGCAAATTGGGAGTGGTAGGAAAATGCTTGAAATTACATTGAGAGACAGAACGAGTAACACGTGGATTAGAGAGCAAATGCAATTTAGAGACAACGCATTAATTGTAAATAAAAGTGGCCTTGCGTATGACATGTCACGTGGAAGGGATAATGACCGGCGGTGGTCCAGACTTAATGGAGTGACGGTTAAAGGAGGAAACATTCCAGACGCGTGATAGCTTGGAGAGACCTTCATCCTGCAGTGGATAGATGATGGCTGACGATGCATACAAAAAAGTAAAAATGGCTTCCCTCACATGCAAATGAGGTAGAGCTCAATCTCCCGTTTACGGCCTTGAACCATTGATGGAAATTCCACATTCTCCTTGATGGAAACAGGTCGGTGCCCAGGGCCCAACCACTTTTGGTTTACAACAAATTGGTTCTCGTTTTAGCAGCCCCAGGGGTGTGAAGTTCAGCAACACTGTCCGACTGGGATCTCAATCAGCAACCTTCTGGTTGTGAGTTGTGCACTTGAAATGGCGAGCTTACGCAGCATCAGTTGCAATTGTCACGCAAGTGCCTCTTGCAAAGGAGATGGGGCAGTGCTAATATATTTAAACTTACATTTTTCATTAAGGCCGTTGTTGCTTTTAAAGTATAGCATTTTTTTTCATTGAAAAAATAAATCATCAACTGGATAAAGTATTTTATTTTATTATATACTGATCACATTTCTCTGAAACAGGGTATTGCAGTGCTTGGAGTATTTATATAGTAGAAAGGGGGGTGGGGGGGGGGAGATCTTAAAAAGTAAACTGCCAATAATTTTTTACTTTGGCAAAGGTGTGTTCAATTCATTCCTCCGATTTGCCTTCAGCCTCACTACTTGGCAGACGATGTGAAAATAGAACAAACATTAGGTCAGTGTTTATAAGAAGAAAATCAGTCTGATCTTAACAGCTTTCCAAAAGATGTTGTTTATATGGCTTCCAGTAGGGCTTGAGATATATCAGATTATACTGCAATAACATGACCAGAGAGTGTTTATTGGTGTCTCACAAATTCCTAGGAATTGCACGGGCAACAGTGCCAATTGGACAGACTCACATTTACCATCCATGTTAACAAACCTTTAATGGTAAGAAGTAATTATAAAATAATTCCTTAAGTAATTCCTGCTGAAACGAGTGCTGTGTTGCTCAATTGTATAGGAAATTCCGAATGATATAGCAGGGGGACAGGCATCCATCAGAAAAGCATAGCTGATTTCCCATAACGGTACTTATTTTATCGACAGCCTGGATAGTCATGCAGCCAGCTATCGGTACAAGAAAGTCGTAGCGTTTTGAGGATTATATGTGTTATTGATAGCAACGTGTTTCTTATCATCGAGTTTTGCATGCGTATATTCAGCTTGCCCTGTT